GATGTTTTTCTGTTGTACAGTATTTCAACATGTGTTCTGTTATCTCCAAATGTCACATAATGGAAATATTTGATTCCAAAAATATTGGAAAAATGCTTTGTATTATTTCTGTTCTAATGCAATATTTGTCTCTATCTCCCTCCTGGCAACTCTAAAATCATTTTTTGGCCGCACCCCAATCCCGATTGACTCTTTTTCGAACTTTGGGCACATTTAGGGAGTCAATAAAACACTCTCTTCCTTTATATCTCAGATAAGCTATTTAGGCCATGTTTACCTTCACTTGGACTCTTTAGGTCTGAGGTGAGCATGTTTTCAGCACTTAATGTCATGTTTTGTCACCTCGGTTCATCAGTTTCTTGAAGGTGTCTTGAAATTAGAGTTTTGTCCTTCTGTGCAATTTTCATGCCTCTCTTTGGGCTGACTATGATGCCCTAATTTTTTTTTAAAAAAACCACTATTTTGATAATCTTCTATCAAACTAAAACAGTTTCATTTTTTTACTTTCTAAAATAATTGACTATTACATTGAAACTACTAAGAGCAGCCTAATTAAAACTGAAAGGAAGAAAAATATTTATTCTACTTTATGTGATGACTAATATATGCTTTCTAAACTGATGTTAATAGTGCTGTTTTGTTTAACAATTATATTATTTAGTTTCATTGAATAATAATTAACAATATATCATTTGTATTCCACTTATAAAAACAGTGTTTCAGTGTAGTAGTGCTACCAATTTGGCATCGGGTTTATTAACAGTACAGTTAGGTTAGCTTGTATGACACTTTGCCGACAAGATGAGACATGGCATCTCCCACACATTCTGCTGCCTCTATCAGCTCCTGTTTTGTTGCAGAGTGTGATCCTGCAAAAGACAGAAAACAACGGTCATGGAGTAAAAAAATATTTCTGTTTCAGCTGAAGATGACTGTTTCATAATTTCAGAAATATTAATGCTATCCTTTCTTTTATAGAAAAGGGACTCTTAAAATATAAAAAAACTGAAAAGGATTGACTGTGTGACACTTGTTCCTAGTAAGCACTTAAACCACAAAAAACAATCAAGTGGAAATCCATGCAATTTAAAGTACATGTTGTTGGAGGGAGACATTTTTTTATAAAACTTCAGCAATTTTCTCACAGAGTCCAGAAGGAGTTCTAAATTGGGTCCCCAGTTTTTATTCCATTTTTATTTCTTTCATTCTTTCAAGCTGAAAGACATTTGGGTCTCCTGCTGTCATCACTATTACTGGTACAGTGTAGAAATAGCAGGATGTACTGTAAAAGGCAGTTATTTAAATGGACTGAGCTGAAATGGGAAACCAGTATCCCAGTAAAGTGGCATTAGTGAATGTCTCTACAGCACATCACTAGTTCAGCTGCATCAATACAAGAAACAGGAAAACAAACACTAAATAATTTCAATCAAATGGCGTTTTTGGTATGTCCTAACATTGCATTCGTTCTGATCAAGAACTGTACTGAACATTCGAGAATGGAGTCTGATCAAAAAAGGGGATGAGAAGGTTATTTGCACAAGTCATGAAACAGGAACAGTTCTCGGACAGTTCCTAATAGGAATATTCATGTACAGTATATTACAGTGTTTGCTACAGTTCGAGTGTCAGAAGAAACAAATACCTGTTTGTACTTTAAGAGAAAGGGCCTTTTTAAGCTGCTGCACAAGCTCAAACAAATCGTCCTCGTCACGATTGTGATCTTCTCCAAGTTTGGCTGAGTCAGTGCGTGATGGCCCTTTCTCATCTGCAGCGTCCGGCAAGAACTTTTCTTCCTGAACTGACGCTGCCATCTTATCCTCGTTATGCACATCTGGAGGATTTTGTCTCAGATGGCTTCGGGAATCGCTTTCTCCAAGACATTCCGTTATCCTGACTGCAGCGCCTGTGGCACTTGAGTCACCGGTTGTGCGTTCTCTTTTATCCAAGAGAGTGATGGGGAACTGTCTCTGGGCTGGCTCTTCCGTTTCGGGAGACGGCTCCACCTTGTCACTATTTTTGCCGAGTTTTCCCTTGACTTCTTCCAGGAGTTTTAGATGTTGTGAGTTAACAGCTTGTGCATTTTTCACCTTTTTCCTTAACGTATAAGGCAGAGAGGCAGCCGATACAATGCTTTGGGGGAATTTCTGGTTCAACTAAAGGAAAAGGAAGGAAAGGAAATCTCAGATTACTTGACTCATAGCATAATACACAACAAGGTCAAATTAGCTGATGATTCAGTTTCACCCCTTCAGTACAACTGCAGGGTATCAAACTAAGCTGAACATTTTAGCATCTAAAACACAATCCTACACCACTAGCATTTTAGAGATTGTACAGGAGCCTTGCTACTCATCTGCTCTGAAAATGCTTCTTAATGTTTGACAGAAACATGCTTTTTCTTTACTGTAGTGAAAGTAGAAGACTGCAACAGGGTTAAGTTGAGGCATTGTCAAGCTATCAATCAGACGCTGTCTTGTGGCATTCCAGCTCACTCACAATTCATTAACAGCAAGGAAACACATAGCTCTGCCACATAGACCTTAAGTTTATGAATTAAGATTCTTCAATACCTCTTTTGGCACTGTGCATTTACAAATATATCTGACAATTCCATGTAGCCATCTGTTTTCTAACTCCTTTATCCAACAAGGAGTCACAGGAAGCTTCCAGCAGACGCAAGGCAGGGTACACACTGGATAGGACACCAGTCCACGTCAGGGCAGAAAGACCTGAACACACACGCACCAGGGCCCCATTTTTGATCAACCTGCCAGTCAATAAACCTACCAGCATGTGTGTGGATGGTAGAGGAAACTGCAGCACCCAGAGGAAACCCACGTGATCACAATGAGAACATAAAAATGCCACACAGATAATTGAACCCAGGGCTCCAGCACTCTGAGGTCACGATGCTAGCTGCTGTGCCACCATATTGTCCTCAGATACAATTATTCCAAGCACAGCCAACGAAATAAAATGAACATTCTTAAAAAAATCAACGAAGTTTGCCTTTAAGCTCTAGACATTCTGAAGAATAGGAAGGTATAAAAACCTCCGTGGCTTTTGCCTGACCTGCATTGTCTGATAGACCCGAGCCAGCTCCTCTTGTAAATTCTGATTGTGCTCTGCCAGGACTTCCATCTTCGCTTCAAGCTGACCGCACATGTCCTTAAGTGATGTGTGCTCAGATTGAGAGGTACCCTTCCATAGAAGAACCTGATGTTCCAGATAACTATGTACAAAAGAGTGAACCATAGTCAAGGTTAGAGAAATCATTAAAGTCTAAAACTAAACGTTAAAAAACTGCTTAAGCTATACAGTATACTATACACTGCATTGTAACAGTGTAGCAAACGTTTGAAAGAGAGCGATTGTACTTTTCAAACTCTTGCATTTGGTATTTAAGACACAAGTACAGTATACTATCAAATACAGCCATATTTGATTGGGTATTCCTGACTGTTACCCTAGTTAAGCAATGCTCATTGAGAACACCATTCAACATGAAATTTGCAATACCAGATTAATTATCACAAAATACATTTTTACCATTGCTGAAACATTCTCTTTCATGCTTAGACATTTCAGTCTAGTATTTTGAAGTGGTGGAGTAGGTTTTCCGCTGAAATGCATTGGAACATTGTGGAAACTCTCTGAAGAAAGTCTGATCCCTAACCAAAATTCTTAGTTAGGGTAGGTTTAGGATTCCCACAAATCACAGATACTATTTTTATGTCATGGCTGTGTTTTATGACAAAAATAAATGTACAGAAAGTGATCTTTCAATGTTATGTATGTTTTTTTCTTACATATATGGCTCTATACTGTATACTGTATGTCGCTATGTTTTTCCTTGCTAAGGTTTATCAATTAGCTGTCAATCTCCATGACCAGTAGTGAATGACTGCTCTAGAGTAAGGGATCAAACTAGCAAACAAATGAATAAGATTGATTTTCTTCTTTATGTTCTGTTCTCTAGTTTTTATAGCATAGCACTTCAACCCCTCATTAAGCACATTGTCGACCTAACTGGATCAATTCAATAAATTTCCCTAGTTTTGCATGGATAATGTTTTTGTCAGACCTGTAGCACATAGAGTATAGTACAGCACTATACTCTGCAAACCACTGAGAACCAGATCATGGTTACTTTTTCCATTTTTCATTTAAATGAAAGAAGCAGTAGAAAGAAAGTTCAAAAATACTAACCATTTGTCCCTTTGCAAACTTCTGACAGCAGCCTGTGTGCGATTCAGTTGATCTTTCAGATATGCTGTTACCTTTTTCTGCGTACCACAAAAAAATACACATTTACTGTATATTCTGTGTGATACTTTGACAATAGGTCTAGTTGGTTCAAAGCAAAATACAGCAGCACCAGTAAAAATTGGGCAACTTATCCAATATCTCAGTAGCTTACCTGGTGTTGCTGTGAACCTGTTGGCTGATGATTGGATTCTGGTAGCTTTTTGGTATCTGTCTGAGTGGTTTTTAGTTCCTTTTTAATGATCCCTTTATGTTTAAGCTTAACCTCTTCGATGCAGTGGGAGACATGTGATGGAGAGCTGTGTTTAGGGTCTGTTTGGGCCTGAACATGATCTCTGAAACAGAAAAGGGCAGAGCAAATTGTGAAGAACTGAAGATGTTCTTCGGAATTACCCGGTGTGCTTCACACAGCTCCAAGAGAGAGCTGTTTTGTTTTTCGACACCAACGTAGAATTCTGGAAAGGTAAAACTAAGATTAAAATGTTATGCTACAACAACAGAAGCTTAGCATTTTGGGTAGAGTATACATTATTTTGAAAAACAAACAAACAAAGGAAACATCATTAATTCTCTGTGCCCAAAAGAAACAAAGTAAATGAATAAATGAAGAAATGGAATCTGCAAAAGTCAAAGACTAGAGATTGCAAAGAAGACAAAGAAACTCAAGGATAAACTCAAAGGCTATCCCTTTAGAGTGGGAATGAATAATGTACATTTTATTGTTTCTGAAATGCAATAAAGAAAAACACAAGGTTCTCTACAAAATCTGATGCAAGTTCTTGTTACGTCTGTCTCTATTGTGATGTTTTGTTCCAGAAGAAGAGGAATTATTCAAACGCAGCATGGCTAGTCAAGCCAGAGCCTTAAGCATGTAGCCCATCATCAAAGCCTTTTCGATAGAGATGGCATTTGAGAGTGGGATATGAATAGACATTGAATAAAGGCGAGGCAACTAAAGTGAATGCACAAGTATCCTGACTGAGGACTTGAAAAGGGAAAAAGAGATAAGAGAATATCATTCTACGCATTCCTGCACTAATTTGTACCGGCTACTTGTAAATAAAAGTATAAAACTGAACCTTGTATTACAGTTTATAGTTAATGATCATTTCCAATGCAACATGCATACCAAAGGAAGGTAAAATTAAAAATGAAAATTTTCACTGTTCAGGACATAATATATGTCCTATGTCATAATATATGACATATAGAAATGAATAAAATCTGTATCTGTAAAGATAAAAACAATTCAATATGAAAAAATATGGCATATTGCGTAGATGTACCACTAAATACCTGGAAGTTAGTCGTAACATTTAAACCTGTGGTCTCCAGCCCTGCGCCTTCAGGTTTTAGGTCAATCGGTGACTAATAAAGCCAATTTAGAAAAAATAAAGAGCTTGCTTTGAACTGAAACAAGAACACAGGTTTAAAAGCACCTTTAAGTGATCTAATATATTGTGACTGTTTCAAAAAATCATTCATGGATTAGATCTTTAATTATTACAATACCAAACAATTTCCTGCAATCAGCTGTCCATTATTGCAATCAAAATGTATTCACCACCGTGATTTCCCTTCTTTAACTGCAGCAATTTGCATTTTTTCCAGTGTCAGTGCAATATTGCTATAAATACAGTATATTCCATGTTGGCTACACAGCTAGCAACAAACGGCTTGTTTTCAAGAAAACGCCACTCGTCCTCATGGACTCACGGTGGCTGGATATCTGGAGAGGGCGCCCCGCTCTCCACGACGCACAGAGCTTCTCTTCTGTGAGCTTCCTTCTGTCTACAGCGCCTGGGGAGCAAGTTGTTTCGGGCCGTGCGGGTGAACACTTTCAGAGTCTCCTTCAAGGAGGGCTGCAGAGATAGAGGATGAGAGAGGAGCACTGGCAAAGGCGTTATAGGAGGCAGTGTGTGAAGGCAGCATGAGGCAGATTTGAAGTACTTTCCCAGTCAAGCAAAATCCTCAAAATTGTCTGGAGAAATGGGTGAACTGTAAGGTAACTGTAAAGTAAGAGACTTTGACTATTAATGCTTCCTAATACTTTGACTAGTGGATGCAGTTTTTGTCTTACAGTATATTACAAGGTTACCTCAGCTTCCTGTTCAAATAAGGCCAAAGGAAACTCAGAACCAAGGTGGAAAAGAAGGTGGAGGCAGGACTAAAAACAGGCGATGCTTTAAAAAAAAAAACATGCATAGTATGTTGGACATATTATAAAGTTAAAAGTGAGACACTGACCTTAAGAAATAAATACCATTCTTGGATCAAAAAGATATAGAGGAGCACTTCAAATCAAGCCACCTCCACTCTTATCGGTGTGGAGTGCCCTTAAAGTTTTATTCAATCTCATTACAGAAACTTTTCTTCATGTTCTTATCCACAGTTAATATCCAGATTCTAGTTAGGTGATTGTAAGTACTGTTCTGTAACCATTCTTAAAACAAATAAACCCGTCTTTATTATGCAAATTTATCTTACGTGTGGTAACATCACACCCTGACCTCCATTACTACATACTCTTAGTTTTAATATGGAAAAGTGCGATATCTCACCTGTGTACAGTGCTCCATTACAGGATGAGCCTCTTTGTGTTTCTTCGTAGTCTTACAAGTTAAGAAGCACACTTGGCAAATCTGCAAATTCAGACATTTCAGGCATCGATACCTAAAAATGTGGAACGACGAAAAAAACAAATCGGAGCGTTAATGAAATATCACGTCATTCTAATTAAAGTCACCTCAAACCTTCACTGAAGTCCTCTGTGACTCCTTGCATCCCTACATCTATAAACTGAAATGCCATTTTTATAGATTTGTAAAAAAAAAAGTATTTTAAGGACTGCAACGAGAGCATATCTGTAGACGGTGTACTGTACCTTTAAAAACAACGGTGAAATACAGAACTGAAGGCGATGCAAACGCAAAGTGCATGTTGATGGTTTTCACCCAGTTTTCCATGTAATTGAGTTTGTTTTTATTTGAAGATGAAGGAAACAGACCTGAGCCCACACATGGGGAAGCTTTTGCAGATGTCACAGCGGGAGTGATGGGTGACAGCTTCGGAGGCAGATATCCTGTACAAGGTGGAAAGCCACAGAAGAAACTTGGGATCTGATTGCAACCACTCCACAAACTTGCCCTCCGGGATCCAAGCAGTGAGAACCTGAGAAGACACGTACAGTACGGTAAAAAACAATTTCGAAACAACATAAGCCATTTCACCCTGCAACTCACAGCTGGCAACCCACTGAAGCTCAGCAGGTGTGAGCCTAGCCAGTACCTGGAAGGAAGTCCTCCTGGGAAAAACTAAGGTTGCTGCTGGAAGAGGTTTTAGTGGGACCAGCAGGGAGCGCTCACCGCGTGGTCTGTGTGTGACAGTAAAGCTGAACTGTTTACAACCTTGAATTACTTAAGCAAAGAATTCTCACTCTAAAAAACGAGTTAATGAGGGACAACCAGTCAGGATTATATTGTTTCCCAATAAGTCCTTTAATCTATATCAACAGTACATACAATTAAAGTGGAACTGCAACACTATTTTTATATTTCAGGGTTAGAATCAGCATGAATGAGGGCATTTCAAACCACAATGAAAGCAAAATGCACATACTGTAGTAACTTGTAAAACCACCTAATTGCATCACAAAACTTGATAAAATTTCAAGGTACAGTATGTGCAGTGCCATAATCTGGGATTCAGAACGAGGCAACAAAACGTCCAGAGGCGGAAGATAAATACATCTCTATTAATCCAATAGAAATATTGCTCTGGATTTCAAGACAAAATTTGCTGACAAAACTGCTTACTACCGGCAGATCATGTTGGAACATTTCTTGCGGTGAAATGTGTTCTGCACAACCTGTACTTATTCGATCCTACATGACATTAGTGACTAGTGAGCAGGAAGGTTGGCATCACATCACAATTCATGCGCACTAGAAAGCAGGTTCGCGACAACATGGTGACTTGCAGTATTTTCAAGAAGTTCGTGATTTTGTGCTTAATTCGAAACCTGCAAAGTTGTTCTATAACGTCGATGAATTTATTTTGTTCCGAGTTTTAATAAGGGGTCTGGCGAATTGGGCCTGCAATTTAGCTTTTAATAGTGTATACCACCAGGGACAGTTGCGGTCTGCAGAAAATGTTTTGGATTAACGAGTCGGACCTACCCCCTGAAAGCAGGAACGCACCGCGCTCTCCACTGAGCCAAAGACATTGCTCTCATGTGCTACCCCTGGTATCTGCATGAAGATATTGAGAGCAGACAATGATGAAAGGATACGTTTACAATTATAGCATAAGAGGATCTATCACCATGGAAAAGTAAAGTATTAAAAAAACTTGAACAAACTTAGGTATTAACATAGCATAATGCAGTTTATTATGTTATGTTACATACAGCATATCATGTCTCAACTCATACTCTGCAATATTTATTAAATAATACATAAAACTGTCATCTACAGTATATGCATTGCAAACTAGATATTCTGACACTATAAAATGGCAAATGATGAACGACGCTACCCAATTTAGAAGTTTTAAAAAGAGTCATACCTGCTTAAGGTCCTCTAAGAGAATCCTCAGGCCACTTCGTGTCACATGACCACTGGGGACACTCTGACTGACGCTACATTGGACAGCCAGTTCCGACAGAGCTACAGCCGAGCATCAAAAGACCATAAACGCTTTTTGAAATAAGGTTAGATGCATACACCTCTTAAAATCATCACCACAGTCTGGTTTAAGAACAACAACAAAAAAAGAGTCTTGATGTCTAGGGTATCCAACAAATTTCAGATTGCGGTGGCTTTGGCGGGCTACAGTGCTGTAAACTTGAAAATAAACACAATGTTTCTTCTCTCCTGCAGTGTAATCCAGCTGAAGAGTGAGAATATCAGCGTTACTTTATTCATCACATTTTTATTGCTAAAAACCCTGCAGATCTGCAGCCTATAGGACCTGCATGATCAGAATCAGAATCTGAATCAGAACCACAGAATCACTTTACTTGCCAAGTGTGTTTCACATACAGTACAAGTAATCTGATCTGGTGTCTTGGTGCAAAAACATATACAGAAACAGTGACAAAAAACAAGTAGCTCTTTGATGTCTCTGCTTTACTAAATGGATGAGATGTCCCACCGATATTAATCAGGCGCATTGACCAGCAAGGATAACAATGCTTGTACAGAACTATCAAGCATGCAAGTTGTAGAATTCACAGATAACATTACCTAAAAAAGAGGAAACAACCCTATACAAGGTTTTTAGTTTGACTAACTTACCTGTGTATTTTGCAGAGAGCTTTTCTCCTGAGAACACTACTAAAGCCGTGACCATAGATCTCAGAGGAATGAAGCCAGTGTGATCCCTTAAAAAATCATTAATATTTGTTTTTACTTTGATTCAAAGTTATCAAGAGTTCATATATATTCAGCAAAATGGTCATTCCAATGCTAGAAAACAGGATATTATATGGTACCTATTTATTAAGTTAATGAGTCATTCATCATACTTACTGTATACACCCTCTGAAAAAGCAGGTCAGCAACAGGACAGTCCAAGTACTGATCACTGATGACAGATCTCAGCAGGGAAATTGATCTTTTCCACCCCAGGAGAATCCATTAGCAAACCCACTAGTGGCATTACCTGGATTTGAACCTGAAATCCCAAACTTGAACAAACCCACCATGTCAAAGATCTAACCTGCAATTTAGGAGATTTGAACACTCTTGTGGATTCTAGGGAGCGCTTTCACTTTAAATGAAACTTGAATGGTTTTGCCTTACTCCCTGAGACTTGTTGAACAGTCATTATGATTCTTCCTGGTCTCCAAAAGTGTTTCAGTGAATGAGCCATTGTGGACCAGAATACTTTGTGTAAATTCCGTTTAGTTCAGTGTATTTGTCATATGCGCAAGAGCAATCAAATGCTTATTTGCATGTATACTCCGATACAAGGACATGAAGGAATGACCAAAAACATCAACACAGAACAGAAGCAGCAGCAGCAAGTTAAAAAACATACAACTTTAATGCAGTGGAGAAGAGAAAAAAAACATCAGTGTGAGTCAGTGGAAGGGGTCGAGTTCAGTTATCTGACTGTCATGGATGTCTGAAGGGATGAACAGTTGAGAGGCAGGAGAGCAGAAAAAGACCCATATGCGTAGCCCGGGCTCAGCAGTTCAGGAGTCGTATAGAAACCTATGCCGTGGGGCGACCTGGATGCTAGGCGGGTCTCAGGACATCCGAACATCAAGGCTGAGCGAAGGTGAATGAGAGACCCGGAAATACATAGCCCCAGAGAGAGAGACACCGGAAGGACAGCAAAGCACAGGAAACTAGGGACAGGACAGAGTAGGAGCATCCTCTGGCTACAGAGGGCGTGACACTGTCAGCTTGTGGGAAGAAACTGCTTCTGGATCTAGAAGTTTGTGCCTTTATGTTCCTATAACGCTTACCAGAGGGAAGAGGGGGAGAAAAATGAGAAACCAGGATGACTGGTATCCTTAGTGATACTTCCAGCCTTCCTCAAACTATTATTGTCTTTGAGACTATTATTGAGCTTATTGTCAAGGCACCCTGTTGGCCATCTCATCATTACCGGTGATTCGGCCAGTGATGGTAGTGTCATCGGCTTAGTTGTAGATGGATTGGGAGGGGTGTCTGGCCACACAAGCGTGGGTAACAGCAGGGGGGCTAAGCACACAGCCCTGAGGGACACCTACTGTATATTGGCGGTCAGCGTGAAAGAAAGCTTTCCATCAGCCCTAATAATCTGTGGTCTGTCAGTCAGGAAATACAGAATCCAGCTGTATAGAGAGGTGCTGATCACGATATTTTCCTGTTATTATTGGTTTACTTTTATATGTAGAAAAATATTCTGCACCTAATTTGTAAAGTGTGTCCATATGTAAAGCGTGTAAAATCTATTTCTCCAAGATTTTTTTTTTTTACTTTCTGACATATATCCGATCTCTCCTGACACAGGGAAGTATACATAAAAGACTAACTGATTTTCCGCCACCTCTCTCTTGCTAACCACCTGCTAGCCCGGGTGTGGACAGCGGTTCACACTCACTTGTCATACAGTGTGGTCAGGAGACGGGCAGTGTGCTCTGTGGCTCCTGCGGCTACCTGGCCTGGTTTTTCCTGCCCAGTTCTGTGGAAGAGCTTCTGCAAACTCTGGGTCACTCCCCGGAGAGAGACTCTGCCATCAACTTGGAGCGTCGTCCTCAACCCATACAGCATAGGTTTCACCAGCTCAAGATCGACCAAATCCACTAGAGGTGAGTAGAAAGAAGAGCAAACAATTTTTGCCACTGGGAGCATGGTGTCAGTGAGGATTAAGCTCTATCACAGAAGATTTTTGCCCTGATTTTCTAATTCTGTCTACTGTTACATTAAGTAGGCCCCTAAATTGTAGTAGTAATTGTAAATTGTATACTTATTTTCAATACATCAACTTCATTTTGCAGTCCTTCCATTCACAAAAAGCCCTAGTCAAGAAAAATTACTGTAACAGCTTGAATATCACTTGTGTATCAATTAACCCCACTTACACTCACAAAAGACTCCTATTTTCAATATTCACTTACGCTGGCACTGTGTCTGCAGGGATCGCAGCTTGAAAGCCGTTCGGTACACTGAATGCTGGATTTCATTAAGACCTTCTGAGAAAAGCAAACCAGAAAGAAATCTAGACGAGCACACAGACCAAATCTGTTGGAATTATTGTTGTAAATGGACTTGAGAAATGCATGTTACGTTTTCTGAAAAGCAAATCTGCAAACAAATTCAAACAGGAAGATTAGAAAAATGCTGAAAAACTGCTCATTCTTCAATATCAGGAAGAGGAATCTAATGTCAAAACACTAAAGTTGGTAGGTTTAGAATAGGTTTAGAAAAACTAAATGCTGTTAACTACTGTTAAAATTGCTTTAGTATTTTTTCATGACCTCAAACAATTGAGTGCAACTTTCCAATGTAAGTTAACTAAATAAGCAGATGGAATACGTAAATAAATCAAAACGTTTTCCTAACAAGTAGGACTTATTAGTATTAATTTGCAATGTACAGAGGCACATTAGGAAACTGCAATTTATGTGTGTAAATATACCGATAATGACCTGTCAATTACCTTTAAACAGCATATTTTAAAGCCTTTGCTTTTTGATTTGACAACATCCTTAGCTCTCTAGTGGTGTATTCCAAGTTTAAATGTTACCAAATCACTTACAGTAGGAATATGGAGTTTATGCTGTCATTTACCACGTAGACACAGAAGATTTTTGTATATTACTGTAAAACAAATTGCATACCTATTTTATCAGGATCCATGAAATATTGTTCAGCCGTGATGCATTAATCTGAAACAAACATAAGGACAATTCCATAAAGGCCCCAGAATTTTGAAATCAGAATTAACATACTCCCCAAAACAGAAGAAAAGTCACAAATGTCAGGCATCTGTTTCTTGAAAACAACAACGGAGTCTTATCTTCAACAACGTGGCTCAAAGCTGCTCCACATTCCCTGCACCCTTTGTTTAAAAGTTACCCTGTGTTTTGAATTTTAAATGTGCTTCCCCATAGTATCCACTTGTGTTGACTGGTTTGTTTTTCTCTGTTGATTCTGAAATGTTTTTTGGGGATCATAATTCAAGTGTAGGGCCATCAATTGAAATCAGTTGATTCTGGCATGTTTTTTATGGAGCTGGTACACATTACCTCAGTCTTACCACAGCTGAGCTACAAAAATACCTTATTTGCTCTCATCAAAGCTTTTACTATATCAGAAATGCAGAGCTACCCGGTCGAACTGTTTCATTTAAGAGAACAGTTAAAATTTGGAACAGGCCAGCTGCTGAAAACCTCTGAGAGGAATATAAATATAGGGAAGAGAACAAGTGTACAGTTCGTGTGTTGCCTTGGATCCAAAGAAGTACGTATCATCCTTGAAATAATAAAGCAGATTTCTGAAAGAAGCTCATGAAATATGTTGGCAAGAAAATAACTATTCATATATTGGATTTACCTCAGAGTTGACTGTACACACATCGATAGCGTAAGTTTCTTTACTTTGATGTGTTTCTGAAACGTTTCTAGGTTTTCTCAAGTTGCCGAAAAAGAATACATGCAGTATCCTGCCTTATTAAGCTTACAGTAAATAAAAATAGTACCGATATTCTTTCACAGTCCTTAATTTTAGGTGACACACAAAGTAGCGATTGACTTTTCTTGATCTCACTTATTACTTATTTATTCAACTGGCAGGCAAGTGCACCTACTGTATGGTGACCTCTCCTGGCATCAAACCCAGCCTTAACAAAAGCATACCATACCTGTGGCTGATCTACTATACTTCTGACAGAGTTTTTTTTGTGCAAATAAAACATAACCTGATCACAGGCCCAAACCGCCTACTGTATATCCAATTTGTCAGAGTGTAAGATGCAAATAAGACTAACACAAAAACAATGCACCACTGCATAACTGCCTTTCACCTTAATCCAGTAAGGAGGTGGAAAGTTTTACTCCTCTGTACGTGGCAGAATACAGATCAAGGAGAAAATGATTACTTATCACAGTCATGCCCAGGCATCATCCAAATATTTTATTGTGCTCATTTTATAGTATAAAATGGCAAAAAAATATGTACTTTTAAAACCACCATTTGCAACACAAAATGCCACTAAAATTTCACACTTTTGGAAAGATGAGGGCTCCTGATTGACTTATTTAAGGGAACTGACATCATTCTTTTTTGGTATCGTCCCTGCGTTGTTCTCCTATTTGGTAAAGATACAAGCCATGCGGTAAGGTAATGTTTTCTACTCTATGGATATCTGTGTTTTCTCTTTCAGGGGGCAGCACTAGATAAAGCCCTGCACTGTTTCTTTGCGTGTTCTCATCCACTCTTTCCCACTTGGAGAGCTAGAGTATTTAGAACAGTACATACACAGTCAATGCACAGAGCATTACACAGACCTAAAAGGAGCACATCACTCTAAACTCATGACACAATAGCAGTGATATGTATTTTGTACATATTTCTTGAATGATTTATAATGTTCTAGCAGAGTGATGTACAGCACTATACCACAAGATGTCTCCCAATACCCTGTACAGTGTAGTGTAAGTGTTTCATAAGAGAGCTGTGGGAAAAGACATCTTTGGTTTGTAAGATGTGCTTCAACTTTGCGGCATGTTAGTACCAAAGTAACTCAACTCAAAATTGTTTACCTCATTTTAACCAGGCTAATTACATTCCGTTTTAAACATTAGTATTACAGTTCATTTTAATGGGCAGTTTTTTTAGGTGTGTTGACAGTTTTTTAGCTTTTTTAGGTTTGTTGAGAGGCATCTTTTAACTGAAAAACTCTCCCTTGCACTAAAGCCCAAATTACAGTCGGGGAATTACCTGGGGAAACCCCAGTCTCAAAAGCCCAGAGCTTCATAAATAATGTCTCTGCTATAACTCTACTAACAGGATTATCCAGTTGAGTCATCACAGCCAAGGAGAAAGATTACATATTTTGTTCTGTATTATTCTCCTTCAGTCAAGGAGCAAAGCCTATGTCATAAAATGTACTGTATAAGCAACCGCATGTCCAAATTGTAACCTTTATTAGCCACTTAAAAAAACACTTTTAAAGCAGACACATTTTCCTCCAAATAAATGACTGATGGTTGTGATAGAAAGTGGATTCTAGTCAGAAGATAACTAGATAATAAGGCTAGATGATAAGGCTAGAAATAATTAGCTGAAGAGTTATGTAAAAAGCTGAGACAGACCAACAGTGCAGTTGGCTTTTTTGGGGGGTTGAGTCTGAAAGAGAATGGAATACAGGAAGTGAGTTACTGTGACTCCAGGGAAGGGAGCAAAACTCTCTGGTGTTTACATGCCACTGCAGAGACTGAAAAGCTCCTTGGCAGGGGTGAGTACACATCTGACAGTGCGTTATTTTGTAGTTACAGTGTACGCATGTGAGTGAGCGTTGTGACATGAGAGAGTGAGAAAAGAAAAACTGAGTCGAAAAATGACAGATGTGAGGAGGAACATGATGTGCAGACAGGTCCCTAGCGTGCTCCATTAGTAGGGGTGTTGTCCAATCTGTCTCTCAAGAAAACCTAGCCAGTGTTTGAAGCCCAAGAGGAAAAGGAATGTGAGAAGAAAAACAGGTAAGGGGATTTTCAAAATGCTTGCAGTAACCTATAGGTTTAAAGTTGTTTAAAAATCAAGAGACTTGCTTAAATTAGAAGGTGCATTTGCAAAGACTATAATTCCATTCCTGAAGGTCATGCATTACTCTCACGAAGTGACCTGATCAGTAAATATTTTTTTCAACATGGCAGCACTTGTAAAGAAACGTTTTTTACCATTTTTGGCACTGTCCAACGATATCCATCATGTGGTTTTGGTAACTTACGGAAAGATTATGTTTTGTTGGTGGTTTGCTGGTCCCATGATTTTAACCCTATTGGATCTGTATAGAATAAGGAAAAGTGAAGGTTACAAATAATTCTGTCTAGATCATGGAGAAATAATTACCAATGAATGGACAAAAAAGTTGCCCTCACACCAGTACAACCTGTTGTCAGAGAACCTACTTTAATGTACCCAATTCACCTGTGACTGCTAACTGTCACTGAGGATACAGTAGGTGGAACATTTTAAATGAGAAGTGTACTAGTGAAGGTCAGCAAATAATATACTTGGTTATTTTTTACATTTGAGAAGGTTAATTTCAATATTTATCAAAACATATTAATGCATCTGCTGGTTGCTCTAATCGAAACTATCAAATTCCCCCAGCTGTATTTTTTAAAGAATTGCATTTACTCCTAATTTTCACAGAGTCTATGTGTTATATACTATGTATACAGTACATAAAGTTATATTTATTTTATTTCTTGGCATGGTTTCATGTTGGGTATCTAACCAAAGGACTTCATAAGGTCTATCAGGTACGGTATTGGTTGAACACCAAATGTAATCAGCTTTCAGACAAAAAAAATAAAACAAAATACTATTTGCACATAGATTACAGTTCCCTTAATACAGGAAATTTTGTTTCAAGGGTTGGGGTTAAGGCTGATTTAGAGGTAATTCAGTATGAAGGTGTTGTCTGAAAGATTACATTACATTGAGATGTATTCTTAAACACAGTTGTGATTCCTAAATGACTTTCAATACACATTCAAAAACCCTATCTGTTAAAAATTATTCTTAGGGGGAAAGTTGAGATTTCAAGCATTGAGACAAAATTCTTACAATTTATTGGAGCCTACAGATTTAATATTCCAAGACTTAAGATTTTTTTTAAAGTGAATCACAGAAAGAAAACAGGCAGTGGTGATAAGATATGATAAGACATGCAGCTGGAGAACAATATTACACGCTGTAGAAAATTGTAACAGGCCGAAGAGTTCACATGAGTCTTTCGTATTGGTTTCTAAGTGAACTAAGGGATGATAGCCTCTCTAATACCAAAATGAGGGTACATTAGAGCTGATTTAATATTACCAAGGTGTAGCAATCAGGAGTGACCAGCAGGCCAGAAACTACTGATTTTAATTTCCCCATGGAAGTATATTGTATATGGACAATAGATCATAGGCAATGTTATGAAGGGCTTAGTGAATTAAAAGATGAGTTTTGAATAGATTTGACTTAGGCAGGAGCTATTATTAAAAATGCTCACAACCTTCCCTCACATAACCTATGACCTAAGATCACAGACCTATATGTTTTTACAGAAACATTTCTAAAGAAACCCTGAAGTTTCTTTCATAAGGGTTGAACAATGACCACCATGTCACAATTCTACCATTTTACATTTTTTCAAGCTTAATTTGTCATAGGACTGTCACAGAGCTCTCACATCATTTGTCCCATGAATACAGCTGTGAGGAAAAAGAATCACATCCTTAGAAAGAACTCACCTCTCTTGATGTCCCAGTTAAATCCTGAGTTCTCGAGACTATCCATGTTTCTCAGTCCGGTGAACAAAACACATTCTCCCTGGGAACACACAGCTTTTAAACTGTGCTGCATGTAACCTTACTGCAATGTCATCCTTGTGCTGAATCTCATGTTACTAGAATTATAAATCATTCATTATCTCTCATGCAGTTGCAGAAATATTGAGATGCAAAAATGAATTGCCGTTCATCAGAATAAGAAAGGTACCGTATGTGTGCTGTATTTGTGAGATTGTGCTTTGAAGTGCAGCTTCAAAACCAATTGTATTGTGTTACCTTGGCAACACAAAGGCCTGTGTAGAGACAGAGAAGAAAATGACATAATTCAGTCCTGTATTTCCCTGGACCATCTTCAAGTATATACAGTATGAATTTTTAATATTAACAGCTAGATTTTTTTATGAATTACTCCTGTAAGAATTGAACTTTGTGCATGTTGTGGTAAACATAAATTGGAAAATGTATATGACATCATATAGTATTTGTAACAGGTACAAAGAGGAATATACAAAACATGCTTTAGGTTAAATATAGTTAAATACCCGATAATTCTGGTATTGTTAATTGAAAATAAATGATTGTATTAATAAACAAGCTAAAAAAGTATGTAGTCCGGGCTTGTTACAATTGTCCAGAATTGTTACAGTATATCACCCGTACATTAAATGACTTCATATATAGACAAAAACTGAATTGTTTCCATTAAAAAAAACATACGGGTGACAAATATTGAAAAATTGAGCTCAATGAATGTTTTGAGTCACATTCTTAGAGTTCAAGCATGTCTGGTAAAAATAAATGATGTCAGAAATATTTTCTATGTATGAGAACACAGCCATGAGACACACAGGAACAGTGAAATAAATACAGCAATCAAGTACAGTACAACAAACTCATATGAACACAGTACTTTACAGGTATAAAGCAATATAATTTGGTTTAACATTATCACCTTATACTGGTTTATATTATTTACATAAATATATATGTATATATTTATTATACATACTGTATATTTATATACTGTAAAAAGTGTGTCTGTTATGTGTACAGTGCTTGAGGAGTATCATAGCCAATTAGTGTAAAACAATATGATGCATCTCATGCCAAAGTCATCATTGCAAAAGTTTCACCAGCTACACATGCAACAGACTGATGTTAGCAGAGCAACACCTGAGCACTTTTCAAGGACTAACATCACATGGAAAAAAAACATTGCTGATGGGCAGTGATGATGACTTTTTCCTACTTTTCTTTTCTCTTTATGTTCATAAATAATTATAATTGCTGTCGTGTACATAGCTACATACCTACATGTATGGGGTAGCTGACCAAGATAATTATTTTTTTTTATGCAATTCTTTCATCACCACTATAATTCACTGTCAAATCAAAGACAACTTAACTAACCACTTGACTGCTAAACTTCATAAAACCCTTTCTGCACTACTCTGCTCTTAGTGCAGCTACAGATCTTCAGAACTGAAGTCATGTGACACAGAGGAGACTTACAGGGGACAATGCCTGGAACCTGTCTCTTTTCGGATATGAATGCTATCTGCGATGACAGATTGTCTTACAAGTTGATTGCCGGAGAACTGATAGTGGGTTCGGTTTTACACAGAGCAATCTACAGTATGCAGAATATTGTAGCACAGGATCATAGCTTTTGGAAAAGTTTTGACGTATTCATGCCAATTATATGAAGTTTATCTACTTTATAAAATGCTATAATGTTTTAATTTTTTCCATGAACACTTGTCATTATTGTTGTAAATGATAATGGCGAATGGTTTTGCTGTACAGTAGCTGTCAGCCTTTTAGCTGTTGAAAAGGCAGTTGTTCACTTTCAGAACCAAGGACTATATTTTGGTCAAATATGGATGTGATTATACAGAACTGACTGATGACAAATGTCTCCATGAGCACTTTAGGCTATAGTCCTAGGTTATTTTCACTACTTGATTTTAATATGGAAATGAGTTGACAAGTTCACATTTTATCCCAGATATTTACATGAAGGAGTAGCCAAAGACTTGTTACTGAAACCTGTACACTGGCTTCTTTCAAGAAATGGTTGGATAAGATCTCTGGATCAACTAGCTACTACCTACCAAAAGTTAAATAGCCTTCTCTCATTTTCTCTTACTTTCGATGGCTCTCCCACTATGCTCTTGGCTGGGATGCACAATCCAGGTTAACAGCGTTGAGCAGTGGTTCAAAACCTTTCTAAAGCATAAATCATCTAATCTAGAACCCCAGTTACTTCAATGATTTATATTTTTTTGAGGGGTGCGAGAACATATTTTGAGAACCGAGGGGACTGCCGGCGTCGGTAAAGGTTAACAACCACCGCTGTGGAGCAAGGAAGGAAAGTCGCGTCTTGCCCTTATCCATCTGCTTGAGACTTGCTGTTGGATTTTATTCGCAGTACAGTCCAATGAAACGAAAGTTGTCCCACATGAAAGGTCCTGAACTGAGTAACGTTATCTAAATGAGTCGATCCGCCGCCGAAACTAGTGCTTTCTCTTCACGTCTCCGTGCGCCTTCCCACATTTAAGCTGGGATGTGCAAAAGTATTTCTGACTGATATTAAAATTATTTTAATTGTGACTTTAATTGAGCGCTCCTGTGTTAACTCTAACTCTACAGCCTAGCACTGGGGGGGGGGGGAGATATCAGACATTGAATTATACAAACCCTATTCGTGAGAAGGGCACAAACTCGGGGTTCGTGTGTTTGCTGATATGTGGTTTGCTATACACTCCTCCGGTAGCACGGAGGAGCAGTTGGCTATTTCCTAACTGAAATTGAAAGGAAAGCCATGACACAGCAGTTTCAGCTGGGGGAGAAAAAGCCTCTGCCTAATTCGACAACGCTGACTTCAGCGTGTGATTAATAGCGTTTTTTATACAGGTAGGGTAACCTGCATATGGTTCGCATTTATACAGTACATGTACACAATCAACCGAAAGTAATTATTGATGGTTTTTTTTTTCTAAAAACATTGACTGTACTTCTCCCATTACAGCTGTCATCTACTTCAAAAGAGTGTCACTGAATTTTCAATTTAAATCCACTCTGGTTAAAAGGAAAGGTAAGTACCGGTTCAGTCATTTCACGCGTCGCATTCCGTAAGGCGTTAACGCACTTCAAGCACAGTAGTTGAACTACTTAAAAGTCTTTACCTTTTAAGTAGTTTGTGTATTGTGCAGTTTAACCATTTTGTACAGATCCCTTTATGTCTTTAATCGCATTTAATATCCTGGACCTTGAGACCATTTTGGCATTTCTGGCGTGTTTTTATATTTTATATTTAAGTGAATATATATTCGTAAATATTCACGCATATTGACTGCTTATGCTGTTGTTGTTTTTTTTATTGTAGCTGTGACGGCGTGCACCGTATTTGACTACTCAGGGGGGCATGGCTACAGCTATAAACGATCTCTTTCAAATCACAGAACAGCTTAGCACAGATGATGTGCCAGCCCTTAGATTCCTATGTTCCGATCTTATCACTGCTAAATCCCAGGAGAAGATAGTCGATGGAAAGGGTTTAATTCTTGAATTAAGGAAGGCTTCGCTGGTGGAGGAAGGAGACTGCTTCATTCTGGCGGAGCTGCTTTATTGGATCGGCCAGAACAAATTGTTAAAGTACATGAACGTCACCAAGGAGATGGTTCAAGAACAGCTCCAGAATAACAATGTATCAAGAGTGTCACCTTTTAGGTAAGCGAAATGTTGTTGTTGTTCTTTAATTAAAAGTTTGAAATGTAACCAAAACCAGCGGAAATGAGTAATTCCAGGTGTTGTCTGTTTCGTGGAAATGGGGCGTGATTCAGGTTAGGTAGTTTACCTGAAATGCTTTTTTACTCGACTGATATTGTTTTCTGTTATTATATTTATTATATTATTATGTTTAGTTCCTCATATCAATGTTTATATCGAAATACGGGTTTTCTTTTGTTACAGCTGAGAATGAGCACTGTTAAGTACAGTATGTGGTGCATGAAGTTTTTAAATGTATAATAATCTCTACTCTGAAGCAGCAAGACCTGTTCTATTGGGCCTACTGAATAGAAGTGCTTCTGACCTGTGCTGCTTCAGACAATTAATACAAAACTCCCGGCGTGATTTCTGTTTAAAATGTTTTTACCGGACATTTATTTAAAAGTGCTGCTCTTTTGTGGTCAGATTTTTTTTTCACTTCATTTTCTAGAACACGTTGACTCTCATAATCAGTCTTTTACAAGATTTTTAAAACCCCTCTGTGACACACTGGATTTCATCTTGCGTTGCTCTGAAAATATTTTGCGATCATCAGACCAACACCCGCCTTCATTGTTTTGTTAAAGTTGGTGCTACACACAAGCACCGTTATACATGTCCTATTAATACTAAAAGTATTAATGTTATATTAATATTATAGTCACAGTCTCATATGGCCTTGCAGTGCTGGGGTCCTGGGTTAATTCCTGGATCTGGGGTGCTGTCTGTGTGGAGTTTGTATGTTCTCCCTGTGTTTGTGTGGGTTTCCTCCCCTAGTCCAAGACACGCTGGCAGGTTAATTGGCACTGTTGTGAGTTTATGTTTAAGTTTATGAGACAATCAATTGTCAAGGCAGCTGACATTTAAAAGTAACTAAATACAGGCTGGAAATGCACATTTCCAGAATGCTGTCAAAATAAATATTCTGCGTTTCATGTATTGAGGAAATTTGGTACTTTAGTCAAGTATGCAGGTGATTATTAACTGTCTTCGTTGTTCATTTGTTTTATCTGTTCATGACAGGAAGATTTTGTACGAAGTCTCTCAGGACATATCAAGTGATGATTTAAATAACATGAAATTTCTCCTGTCTGACAAGTTTGGCGCTTCACTGGAAAACATGGTAAAACTTAATGTACAGTTCTGATATTGCACATTCTGTTATTTTGTATACGCAAACTGATGTTTCAGCCACTTAAATAAAGGCAAGAACAATCATATAAAGTTCTTTTTTTCCCCCAGGATATCTATGACATCTTTACTGCAATGGAGAAGAGGGAGATGCTGGCAGACAATAATTTTGAAGAGCTGAAAAAAATATTTGGGCAAATGTCACCTAGACTTTTAAAGAAAATTGAAGACTATGAAACACATAATAAAGGTGAAAGTACAGTATGTTGATTCCCATATACAGTTCTACTCAGTAGAAATAAAAAATAGTACATTAAAAGTGTAGAGAATTATCTTTTTCTTAAAGGATCCTAAAGTGCTGTAAAAATAATACACAAAATACACAAAAATAATAATAGGGTAATAGTAATGGATTAAAGTTATTGTTCACATTAACATTTCTTATTTACATCAATCCTTTGTTTCTGTTGTCCTCTCTAAATGGACAATATTTTGCCTCTTGATATTAAGTGAAAAGAGGGATTTTCAGAGACCAACATTTCTTTGGATATTCCATCAAAATAAATGTGTACACCCTCATTTGGAAAGGAAACCAGTTTAGAGTTATTTAGAATTGGCTCCTCAGATACTGTATATTCATATGTATTTGTGTTTTTTGTTCATAGATAAACCGCTTCAGGAAGAATCAGAAGTGGTTTCAAATTTGTCACAAATGAGCCTGTGTAACACGACAGAACAAGGTAGGTTTTCCATTCTGGATATGTCACAGCTGTAAAAACAATTTGCCACTTTTAGTTTTTAGACCAACATGAACTATTGACCTAGTCATTTCTCGGGCATGTTAACAGAACTTAAATTAATGTTTTAAAAGTACATGAATTGTGATCCTTCAGTAAACACTTCTTCCATAGCAGTGTGTGAATTGTGAATGAACCTTTCTGTGAAGTGTTAATTGAAAAAGTGATTAAAGAATTGTACTTTGTTAAACCTCATCCTTTTTCTGAACTTGCCCCAACTTGTCCTGGCCACATTAGCCTTGTAATATGAAATGGTTCTGTGTCTTCTTGCTGTTTTTTCCTGTCATAACTATTTGGAGTTGTTCAAAGAGATGACACTCTTGTATTGTAATGCTTCACTGATGAGACATTTGTGATACTCTAATTTTCCTCCTTTGTCATGCTAGCTTGCAATCAGATTTGTGAGCCATAGTGCCTATTATTCATGATTTAATTATTGGATCTATGGATCTAAGCTGACCAAACCAGTAATGAATCATAACGGCACTCAATATATTCCGTGAAGTGAGGAGTGAGGAGTGAGGAGTGATGCATAGTGTCATTGGAACAACAAAGTCCAAATGGTGATTTCAACTTAACACGCAAACACTTTGTATTTGTGCTAGTCAAATAAACAGAAATGATCTATTATGTTCATAATCGTATGCTCTATTTTTGGATGACTCCATGCATACAATTGAACATATTAAAAGGTAAACAGTTTGTGTCCTCAACCCAGTGATTTCCACTGACTAAGTATTGTGATTCACTTTAGTTTCAGGGTGTTGAAGTCGGTATTAGGTGGCACATCGCTTTCAGGCAATAACTGCATGACGTCTGTGACTCATTGTGCAGACATTTTAGACTCAGTTACTTTGAGTCCAGTGTTTCTTGAAGGAAGCCAGGGTTTCATCTTTGACAACATGGCTGAGTCGACTGTCCCAAATTCCCACAAGCCTTCGTGTAAATAAGCATTTTCTGTGGTCAGTTTTAAATGATAAAAATCCCCTTCTAGAACACAGTTTTTTACTTTTTTTTATTAACATGAAGACTTTTTTTTTAAACCTGCATTTTTAGTTTTTTAATGCAGAATGCGCTCCACTTGTGAAACTATTATTGTATATTATTGTGTACACCCTCATTTTTGTATATTGTATATTATTGTGTATTCTTTTGAAAAATTAACATCTGCTTTATAGAGGACAGTGTTTTCCACAAATTGTGATCAGACCTGTTGATGATGATGGCATTATGGTGATGTTTTTCTTTTGTGTGAAAGAACTGCAATTAACCTGAAGCAGTGTAAAATGAATTACTGAATTTTTTTCTCTGATTTAATCTAATTCTAATTCTCTAAGGTAGAAATTGTAGATTTGTGCTTCTCTTCAAACAATGAGGCTTCTTGCTCTTTCTGGCTCTCTTTTCCGATAGCATTGCCTGCCTTTCTCTTGAATTAAGTCTACAGCATGTCTCCTGAAACTGTGGGGACAGCTGTCTCCTTCGTGATCTTGACTTCTCTGTCTTGGCTGCCGTTCCTAAGGATCATTGACATTCTCGCATTAGCCTAACGCTTTAGCATGGAATTTAACCTCAGAGCTCCTTTGCAAGGTAAAAGAAAATCTGTAATTGATGCATTTTGTCTGTATTTCACATTCATCAGCAAACTGGTGCTGCTTCTTCAGTGGGTTGTTTTCATTTTAAGGCTTTATAGTATGGGCTTTTTTAATTAAAATAATTCATGGTGCTGAACAATTTAAGCAGCATTGTTCTTTGAATGCCGCATAGTTGGTGTGGCACAGTGCAGGGTGTTGGAGCCCTAGGGTGCTAGCTGTGTGGAGTTTGCATATTCCCTCCATGTTTGCATGGGTTTCCTCCAGGAGCTCCAGTTCCGTCCAACACACTGGTAGATTAATTAGCTTCTGGGGAAACTGGCCCTATTGTGTTTGCATGTCATGCGTTTGCATATGCATCTGAATCTGGACTGGCATCCTACACAATGAGCATCCACCTGCCTGTTTATCCTGTATTGGCTCAATACATGGATGTTGCATGGCCAACTGAGTACTTATTGTGAGCAAATAATGTTGCAAAGGATTCCAAAAAGGGAGATTGAAAAGAGTGCTTTGTTTTGCCTTTAAGGTAAACCGGTGAGTCAAGAAGAGAGCTGTGTGATACAGGTAAGAACAAAAGGAGTTATTATATATTTGAATATTACTTGTTTTATGTAGGATTGGGTATTTTGGTCCGTCTTTTTAAGCTTCTTTGGTTGCTAGTGGATAAGTGATGGAAAGATCTCATTCAGCTGTTTCTTGAAAGGAAGCCAGAATATCTTCTTCCACAACATTGTTAATATCGGGTCTCAATTTTAAATGCCCTTTGCTGCGGTTTCCAGTATACTATTCTAAGCATCCTACTGGATCAGTGAAATCAGTATGGAAAGCTGTTGTCCCCACAGTACTCCATCAATTATATCACCTTAATTTGGGCATTACACCTTGTCTGTACTGTTTTCTATGCAATAACCTGTTCTCAATCCAAGTACATTACCTTGCATGTTTGCTGCTCTCTATTGTAGAATTAATCTTTTAAATAAAAGAGTCTTCAGAGCAATCTAAATGTACCACCTCATTTGTGATGTTCATAACCATTACTGTTGTTGCTTGATCCAAGAACTCTAATACAGGACTTGACCAGAAATCCACACTCGCATAGAAACCTGTTGTCATACAACAGGATTGATAGATTTAATTTATGAACAAGGTAACAGGTTTTACGACTCCAATTATAAAATTGAGAAAACATTTTGTATTATGTATTTTTAGGTCATGTAAACAAAGCTGAAGTCAACATTTCTAGGTGTTGCAGTAAAGCACAATGGGTTCATAAGCCCATTGAATTGTTATCCGTTTTGAACTCGTACATTTTTAAATGAATACATTCAGAGATTAATTCACACCATGATCAATGCTGAAGTGTCTTTTTTGTAAATATCAATATGCACTTGAAATAGCAGGCGATGTTTAAATGTGTTGCACAGTAATTTTCCCTGCATGCATATTTTTGCAAAAGTGTATTCTTAACATCATGTTTTTCTCTGCTGATTAACTTGCCCTCTTTGTTTCATTGATAAAAGTTTCCAATTGCCATTTCTACTATATTACTGTTATTGCTTATACTTCAGTGAATGTTTTTTTAAACTCTGTTGCCTTTGTTCAAGTCTCATTAAAGATATGATCATTTTTCTACCCGTTTTCATTAACATTAAAAACTAAGAACAAAATGAAGATTTTTTTTAAAGGAAAAAACCCCACTTTCTACCTGTTAAAGAAAAACATGCATGTGTACGATGCAAACTGTATTTCAAGTTGGCTCGTTGTATTAGGTGACCCTCCACTTCCCTAAAACATCTTTCTTGAAAATGGTTCAACATTTCAAGCAGAGGTTTAGAAAAATCACCTTTTTGGTTTTGTAATCTTTTACAGAACAAAGAATACAAAATGTCTAGCCTGCCCAGAGGGTACTGTTTGATTTTAAATAACTTTGATTTTGTGGAAAAAAGGATACAAAACCGTTGGGGAACGGAGCACGATGCAAGTAAGTGCGTTACAAAAAGAATAAAAGGCATAAAATGTTTTTTTCTACAAGAAATTGTTCATTTGGCAGTTACAAGGATTGTACTGTATATCTCTGGTAGGCGTTGAAGTACAGTAACAAAGCGTGTGATAGCAGCTCAAGACTGGATAGAATATTATAGTTTCATGTTGTATTGTCAAAGATTGTTTTAATGTTTTTGCATTTAGTGCACTTTTGCCATGGGAAAATCAGTTATTTGTGTGGAAGTCTAACGGGAGATTCCTGAGAGGCTCAAACAAGTGCAGCCAGAGATTTAATAATAATAATAATAATAATAATTCTTACACTTATATAGCGCTTTTTCTGGAAACTCCACTCAAAGCGCTTTACAGGTAATGGGGAGTCCCCTCCACCACCACCAATGTGCAGCATCCACCTGGAAGGTGGCCATAGTACACCAGTACGCTCACCACACATCAGCTCTCAGTGGGGAGGAGAGCAGAGTAATGAAGCCAGTTCATAGATGGGGATTATTAGGAGGCCATGATTGGTAAAGGCCAATGGGAAATCTGTCCAGGACGCCGGGGTTACACCCCTACTCTTCTCGAGAAAAACGCCCTGGGATTTTTAATGACCACAGAGAGTCAGGACCTCGGTTTTATGTCTCATCCGAAGGACGGCGCCTGTTTACAGTATAGTGTCCCCGTCACTATACTGGGGCATTAGAACCCACATGGACC